AAAAACCCTCAAGCTTGACAACTCAACTAGGGGAGCACTTATGCCCAACAAGAGTTATAGTCACCAACAAAGTCGTATTGCAAGCCAACAACAACTTCAGTGCATGGCATACGAAGACAAGCTATTCAGCCCTCTTGCATCTGCTTCAAACATTTCCCCTCTGTAACAATGCAAACACTACAACTCGTAGAAAGCTTCACACACTCTTGATCAAGACAGTGTGAAGCAAAACCAATTTATAGTGCCAACAAGAGCTTCATCAAAGGAGTTCAACCATAATTCTCAAAAGCTTAACACTCTTGATCAAGACAGTGTGAAGCAAAACCAATTTATGGTGCCAACAAGAGCTTCATCAATGAAGGGCAACCACAATTCTTAAAAGCTTCACACACTCTTGATCAAGACAGTCTGAAGCAAAACCAATTTATGGTGCCAATAAGAGTTTCATCAATGGAGGGCAACCACAATTCTTAAAAGCTTCACACACTCTTGATCAAGACAGTTTGAAGCAAAACCAATTTATGGTGCCAACAAGAGCTTCATCAAAGGAGTTCAACCACAATTCTCAAAAGCTTCACACACTCTTGATGGTGCCAACAAGAGCTTCATCAATGGAGGACAACCACAATTCTCAAAAGCTTCACACACTTTTGATCAAGACAGTGTGAAGGAAAACCAATTTATGGTGCCAACAAAAACTTCATCAAAGGAGTTCAACCACAATTCTCAAAAGCTTCACACACTCTTGATCAAGACAGTGTGAAGCAAAACCAATTTATGGTGCCAACAAAAGCTTCATCAATGGAGGGCAACTACAATTCTCAAACCTTCGAAGCAAATTCAATTTATATAGTTCATCTAAACCTTCGACTAATACAAAGTGTGGCTTGCATCACAATCTCTTGCTCAACAGTGTGGAAGAAAAATTTGTATATGTTGTATCTCCCACATTTTCAAATTTCTAGTTTCCCAAAAAAAAAAGGGAAATTCAACAAAGCTTCATCAATGGAGGACAACTACAAAATCTCAAAAGCTTCACACTATCTTAATCAAGATAGTGTGAAGCAAATCAATTCATGGTACCCAACAAAAGCTTCACCCATAAAAGCTTCACCAACAAAAGCTTCATCAATGGAGGACAACTACAAATTCTCAAAAACTTCACACTATCTTGATCAAGATAGTGTGAAGCAAAATCAATTCATGGTACCCAACAAAAGCTTCACCCACAAAAGCTTCACCAACAAAAGCTTCACCCACAAAAGCTTCACCAACAAAAGCTTCATCAATGGAGGACAACTACAAATTCTCAAAAGCTTCAACACAAAAGCTTGACCCACAAAAGCTTAACCCACAAAAGCTTCACTCACAAAACCTTCACCCACAAAACCTTCACCTACAAAAGCTTGACCCACAAAACCTTCACCCACAAAACCTTCACCTACAAAAGCTTCACCCACAAAAACCCACAAAAGCTTGATCCACAAAAGCTTCACTTACAAAAGCTTCACTTACAAAAGCTTCACCCACAAAAGCTTCACCTACAAAGCTTCAACACAAAAGCTTCACCTACAAAAGCTTCACACTATCTTGATCAAGATAGTGTGAAGCAAAATCAATTCATGGTGCCCAACAAAGCTTCAACCTCAAAGCTTCACCTACAAAGCTTCAACACCAAAGCTTCACCTACAAAGCTTAAAATATATATATATATATATATATATATATATATATATATATTATATTTTCGGAAATTCGAAAATTCAAAAATTCGAAAAGAAAAAAAAATTGCCTAGGCCTCCTCTTCTTTGTGCCTAACAACTTTCATAACAAATATATATGAAGGAGGAGTTTTTGGCTACCACTTAGAAAGGAAATGCCTCATTCGTCAACTCCCTCGACCGGAGACTTGGGGGACACCTACCATATGCTACTGCACCTTGATACTCAGAATCTCACGACCACTCAATGACTTGGATTTTTCAACTCTCCAACCGAGAAGTTTTCCTCACTCGGGAAATTAGGGGAGCACTACCTCAACATACATGCTTCACTCTCAAAGGTTCAACATACAAGCTTCAACAAAAGAAAAAATTCAAAGAACTTAGTGAAGAAGGCCTTGGTGTATTTAACATAATACGTTGAAATGAAGCAAAGCTTGTTTATTGATATCTCCGATAAGTTACAAATATGTACATATACATGAATCAAAATAAACAAACAAGAGGGAGCCTTCACAAAGGTTGCTTATGAGAAGTCTTAACAGTCGGTAGAACCCCAGAAAGAGTAGGCACCAGAGGGTGATCATTCGGAGCCTCAGTACTGGGTAGAACCCCAGAAGGAAGAGGCACCGAAGGTTGATCATTCAGAGCTTCATTACGCGGTACAGCCCCAAAAGACGAAGGCAATAAATGTCTTTGGAACAAACCCACAAACCTCTGATGATCAAGCAAAATCTGACCATCAGATTCATGCAGCTGGTCAAGCTTCCTCTTCATGTTTGTAGCATAGTCATGTGCGAGCCTGTGCAACTGTTTATTCTCATGCTTTAGCCCTCTGATCTCCTGTTTGAGACTTATCACTTCAGCCGCCAATGATTCAACTTGGCAGGTTCGAGCAAATAGGCATTGGGCCATATTAGACACAGAACCTGCACACTGAACACTGAGAGCCAGAGAATCCTTAACAGCCAACTCATCAGACCGTTTGGAAAGTAGTCTGTTATCTTTGGGAGTGAGAAGGTTCCTGGCCACCACCGCAGCGGTCATATCATTCTTCATCACAGAGTCCCCATCGGTAAAAGGACCAGTAAGGGATAAGAATGATAGGCGTCATATGTTGTCTTGAGAAGCCATGGTTGCCTCTTCACCAAAGTTCAAGTCAAAACGACGGTCGGATAGGCCAAACATTCTCAGAAATGATGAAGGAGAAATGAGGTGCAATAAATCTCTGAAGTAAAGGGAAAATTCCTACAAGCAATAACTCTCTAAATGTACTTCTTGCACACAATTTGTGCCCTTATAAAACAATTTTAACAAAACTCAAGTCCTGATAATGGACTTTTGTTCCAATTTAAAAAATATTGACTTGTGTTCCAAGCAACATAATGCATTCACCATTCAAATGTCAAAGGCATCACAATAATCCCTGAACAAACAAATTAAAAATCAAAATTTCTTCTCCAAGTTTTTGTTCATTTTATTTTAGTTCTCCATTGGAATTTTATTCAAAGAAAGACAATAGCATGCCAAAGATTAAATACCCTAATTTCAAACTCTGCTAATGCATAACTCTGTTTGATTTTTTTTTTTTCCAAAAGACTAGATTAAGAGAGTGGTCAAGTTCTTTAACGCATCACCGATATCATATTCGAGCTATTACCACCTCACTCGCTACTTTAGCGAGGCACCAGCTTGCCATCACCATCATATCCCATCCTCTCTTTACCATTCTTTCTATTTCCCTCAACTCTCTCTCTCTTGACATTGTGCTTGCTGCACAAAAATAGCAAGGTGACCACCGTCGCCATTTTTCACAGCTAACTATGCTTCCATGAAACCACGACCATTAATCTCGCCACCTAGGCGAATTTCACCATCTCGGAACCCACCTTCTACAAACTGCCCTCATCCCTTCTAATTTCAATTATTGCATTTCTTGTATGATATCTATGTCTAGCACATTCAAATATTTATATACCAATTGAGAATAACAAAATAAATCTCCCACCCACCCCTTCTCTCCCACTCAAAAAATGCACCTAAAACCCACATTAACCACCACAGTTTAAGAATCCAGACATGGCCCCAAACAAAGAACACACACGACACACACATTTAGACAAATATATTTTTAGAGAAACCAACTAAAATTTTCAAAGTGTAAAAACAGAAAACCATTAGAATCTTTAGAGAAACCAACTAAAATTGCAATTTAAAAACAATTCCACTAAATTTTAGTAGCCATGCTGCATATATTAGCGTTTTTAGCCATGAGATTACATAAACGACGAAAAACCCCATGAATAAGAACGCCTTACTCACCAATCAAACCAAAACATTAATAGAACAGTTGCCTTAAAAATGTATAATTAGCAAAGAAGCATGAGCTAAAAGGATCCCATCATCAACAACAAATACGCTACACACAAACATAATCCCAACACGATCAGATTATCACCAGCAAAAAATATCCATTACTAAGAACGTACGTGTACTAAAAACGTGTAAAAAAGAGTAATAACAACACTTTATTCTTAAAACATTAAAGGGGTTCATTGTTTACATCATTGTGCTCATGATCGAACAAAAACGTTTGCATGACCCTTTTTTTCATTTAAAAAAGCTCTCGTCTCTAGATATTTAAAATCCAGAAGGCCGCCACGGTGGAGATAAGCAAGAGCAACAAAATTCCAACCTTCTTCTAGCGGTCAAACTTGTAGACCCAATCGAACAACTCCAAAAAGCGTTGCGAAACTTTTTCATTCAACATAACTTTTTCATTTGGTGAATTACTACGATTTTCAGGCAAATACATAGTGTGCACCACCAACTTGTTTCGATTTGCACCTTTACTACACATAAACTCATCCTTATTTTTTCTACTTTTACTGCTCTCAATGCACTGGGTCCTGGAACAATTTTAGAATATCTCAATGATGTCCCTCGAAGTTGTTCATCTTTTCGAGCCTTAACCAATTTCCTTAAATTTTTTTACCAAAACTCCACCTAGAATTTGTTGTTCTTTTTGATAAATCGCTTTCTCCATTTTAGTTACCCTCAATCACAAATTCAATATAGCTTCAATATTTATGTTTTTTCTTAAATCCTTTTTAACTTGCAAGCTAAACAGCAAAATTATCAAAAATCTTAAAAAATCTAATTAATATAGAAAATACATAAAAAAAAGTTTGCGAAAGTTGGATAATTAATAAAGAAAGTGTAACCAAAAACTGTTTAGATCAAATTTGGAAGAGGTAGTTGACATAGAAAATACGTAAATTAATTTTGTATGGGTTAATAATACCTATAGGTTGAATGTAAATTGTAATGACCTGTCCCCAAATATTACAATTTTTATCATTTTAAAGTGTGAATTTATGAAAATGCCCCTTAAGGCAAAAACGTTGACTTTTGTGGACCACCTTGTCATGTCATGTAAGATCCGTTTTCTTACTGTATCCTTGTAAGACTTGTCACTATGAGCGTGTGGGCGCAAGCAGAATCGGATTTGGAGTTATGAGGAACGTTTTACGGAATTTGAAACGTAAGGGCATTTTGGTAATTTTCCAAGCCAAGATATTTTCCACCTTGGACCACTCCCGCGCTGACACGTGACAGATCCCCTCCACATTTCTAGGGTGTTCCTCTCCCTTTATCGTGACTCCTCTCTCTCTAGAACTCTCTATCTCTCTCTTTTTTCCTACCTTTCTCTTTGTCTCTCCCCGGGAAACATTTTCCTTCTTTCTCAGCCATTTCCTTCTCTCTCCGACCTCACCCACACCCGACACCTCTCTGGCTAGCCACCTTACGGACCACCGCCTCTACCAACCTCTCCTCACTGATCGAAGTCACACTCTCGAACCCCTAACCCAGGACGATGTCTTTCTCTCTTCACAGTGGCACCATTATTGTGCAAACGTTTCTTCAGCGAATCCTCGCCATCTCCAATGACGATGAGCTTCGATAACCAACCAAAACTTCAGAGATTATGTTTTAGGGCACGATTAGGATAGTTTTGACGTGTGTGGTATGGTTTTAGACACAGGAAATACTCGGGGGGAACCTTCCCCAGTTTCCGACGAGAACCCGTGCCTTCTAGACTGTTTTTTGGCCAACTCCGGCCACAGTTGAGGAAACCAAGTGTAAATTTTTATCCCTTGCTTCTCAGGATTTCTTCTTCATGAAATCCGGCTTGAAACCAGGTCGGCCAAACTCAGAAACCCAAAGACTCGACCCTCAACCCAAAACCAGCCTAATAACTAGCCCAACCTAATCAGATCCAGCCCAACCTATTGTCCAGGCCCAATCCTTTAACCCAATAACGGACCTAGCCCAAACCCTTGGGCCATGTAACCCAGGCTCATAGCCCATTTACCCTAACTTGGCTCAACCCATTAGCCCAAGCCCTGACCCAGATCCTAACTTAGTTCCATGTCCACACGTGGGTTGGCACATGGGTGCTTGTCATGGCTGGTGCATGGAGCACACGCGCCTCCGCCGAAGGTACTGTGCTCCAACGACCCAACTCAATGTATGGTGGCGCATGCGGTGACTCGTGGGGGAACCCGAGGTCCCTCCTTGGGTTTCTCGACATGCCAAATCTAAATCTGTTGTCCGTTTCCTAAAATTTGATCGTTTTAGTAGAGTTTACCTAAATAACCTCTATATGTGGTTAGGTGCATCGGTGGGAAATGACTTCATCCTCGCTAGTTCTAGCAGCGTACGGGCAATGGAATACTGTGAGTGGACCCCTTCTAAACTTGCATGATTTTATAAAATATTAGGCTTGCATGCATTCATATTTCATGAATTGATTACATTTTATGTTACGTTTGTTGGATTTCTAGATTTATGTTTTATGAAGAAATTAAAATATTTATAATTTCACGTATTTACGTTTTATGAAAGGTAATGGATTATTGAGTTTTCGTATATGAAAGTTTATGGATTACAAATACGATTTATTTTACAGATTTATGAATATGTGCTATCAAGGATTGATAAGAGGAGACTTTGAGCTTTTGAGCTTTAGATTTGGATATGAGTTTTTGAGGTATGTTTTCAGTGCTTATCTAGTGGGTTATCATATAGCACATCCACACAACACGAGTATGTAGACGTCTATGGTCATAGGACACAGTTGAGGAGATATATGATATACCCCCAGCTTCACTGGTGAAACCAGTGTCGGACAGCTTCACTAGCAACGGTTAGTGTCAGTGTGTGATGTTATATGTTTCTTCTCTAGCATAACCCAAAGTCATACAACTTCACCTTCGGGTGATGGGGCCTACCATGTTTCTTAACTGGCGTAACCCAGTGTCGTACAGTTTCACCTTCGAGTGATGGACAGGTACTGCCTCGGGCGACTATGATACCCCTAGAGAGTACAGTATTGATGAGATTTATGGATTTGCCTTCGGGCAATGAAAGCACCATTATTGAGCATGGTTTTACATATATTTGTTTTACGAATGATTTCATGGCATGCTAGAGTTTTCAGAAAACTTACCATATGTAGTATTATATATATATTCAAAACAAGGGTTAGTATGTTCAGTAAGAAATCAGTTTTCGTATTATTAGTATTAATATCAATTATGGTCCACTCACCGTTTCTCCCCCTTCAGGAGTTAGAATCAAGGCACACGATCCCAGCGTCAAGACACTTCCGCTTAGGCATCTCGAGCCTCCTCTGTGTAGGACCCATTCCTCAGTTCGTACCTTTCTATCATAATTCTTTCACTTTATTCTTGATTAGTTGTATGCTTTGAACACAATTTTGCACTAGTGTATCTCTTTCTAATTACATATTTTATCGGTATGCATGTTTTTAATGGCTTCGTCACCCTCGGGTGTCGGCCAACACGTGTCTACCCTGATATTTGGGGATATCGGGGTTGTAGCGTGTCATAAATAGTCCTAAATTTTTCTAAATATGTAAGTTGTGTTCATGTATTGTTAAAAGGCTACTCATTTTCTTAAATATGTAAGTTGCCATTTTTCGTGAAATATTTATGGTCCATAGAGAGAGTGCACTTATCAACATCACTCATTAAAGCACTTCGGGAAGGATGAGAGAGCCCACTCATAGAAAAACCTAATGAACACACCAACCAGCCAAATCAACTGACCTTTGAACAATAATTTGGAAAATTCAACACATAAAAAAGAAAGTAAGCAACTGGCAAAAAAACATGTAAAATGTCTAACAACATTCGATAAAAAATTAAGAACACTTGGGTAAACCAGAATTATAAAGACAGCAAGGGACCTTTGAATTGAAACCAAAATAAAAAACCAAGAATAAGAAACAAAGCAGAGGGCAAAGAAATAATATAAGGCCAAAACATCAAACATTCTATTAAAAAAAACATAAAGTCACGCTGCCTCAAATGGAAAGCACAGGGAAACAAAGCATGAAAGTTCAAGTGGCATACCAAAGTCTTGACTCAAATGCAATGGCTCAAAACCCCTGCATCAAAGTTCAAGAGCAGATAATGATGTTGCAATGGGGCCCCGAACTAAACTGCAAAAAATTAGAGAGATTCAAAGCAAGAATTCGAGGTGAAAACAAATGGACACAGGGAAATGAACTTAATCTCTGACAGTGCAATGGATTTAATCTGTGGCATATTCACACATAAACAAAAATGCATTTGGACTTAAATTTTTTTTAAATGCACTGCATAAACACCATTATTGAGCTACTCAACGCTACAAATTTCTTTTCTCTTTCCCCCGTTTTTCTCAGCCACCAAACAAAGGGTAAAGTCTGAAAATGTCAATTTTCATTTTCTTTCCTACATTTGCCAAAAGTCCACAGGGAAGTTTTTGGAACCCAGTACGCTTAGGTTGGACTGATCTCATTCTCAAAGCAACAACTTTAGCCACACATGAGGTTCTTCTGCTTGCTCAGCACAAGCAACAGCCATTAGGATCAAATATTTGCAGTTTAGGCACCATTTAAAGTAGATATACAATTAATCAGTTAATTATATAATAAATTTTGTTAGCTCTATATGGTACATATTGGATAATAATATACAATTTTGTTTAGTCTTTAGATAGGGATGGGACCATTGCTCGAGGTTGAGCTTAGCTTTAGGTGATGCAACCACGTATACTTACCTTTAATCAAATCCAACAATGCACTCAACTGCATTTTCGCTCACATACGGTTTTTTTTTTTTTTCTCATTGAATCAGCCTAAATATAATTATGCTAACTGAGAAAAATTTTACTCCTTATATTTGAGGGTATCGAACCTTGTACTGAATCTATACTCTTTATCATTTTATACTCAAATAAGCTGAAGAGGGAACAAAGATGCTGCCAAGACAACTCATGAAGAACTAAAAACAAATGAACATATTTATCACTTAACAAAAAAAATCGATAAAGCCACAGAAAAGCACAACAACGATGATCCAATGATGGACAAATAAATAAATAAAACAACGATTCAACCAAAACAGCAACCATTTGGAGGGGGGAATAGATTCTCTACAAAAATAAGCTGAAGAGGGGACAAAGATGCTGCCAAGACAACTCATGAAGAACTAAAAACAAATGAACACATTTATCACTTAACAAAAAAATCGATAAAGCCACAGAAAAGCACAACAACGATGATCCAATGATGGACAAATAAATAAATAAATAAAACAATGATTCAACCAAAACAGCAACCATTTGGGGGGGGGGGGAGTAGATTCTCTACAAAAATCGTCTAAAACATAAGCACACATGAAAAAACAAACGCAGGATTACGCTCACAATAACAAACAACAATAGAAATGCAGAAAAGTTAAACAGAAAACAAAGATTCTCCCGTGATAACTGATTAAGCACCGAAAACACACGAACGCAATCAGTTGCGCTCATGTATTGTTAAAAGGCTACTCATTTTCCTAAACACGTAAGTTGTGATTTTTCCTAAAATATTTCTGGATCGTTGAGAGAGTGTACTTATCAACAACACTCATTAAAGCACTTCGGGGTGGATGAAAGAGTCCACTCCCAAAAAAACCTAATGAAACACCAACCAACCAAAGCAACCAACCTTTGAACAATAATTTGGAAGATTGAAAATGCAAAAAAGAAGGAAAGCAACCGACAAAAAAAACATGTAAAATGTCTAACTGATAGAAGCATATTTATGCGACTTAGTGAGCTTGTTCTTGTGCATTTACGTTGTGTTTTCTTAGTTAAATTAGTCTTTTAAGCTATTTTCATGTGTTTTCAGGTTTTAAGGGAAAAGTATGCAAAGTAGTGCATTTTGGAGCCTTTTTGAGCAAAATTGAGCTTGGAATGGATATCACATGCTTGGAACGAAAGGAATGGACGAGATTGAAGGAGTCCTAATTGAAGAAGGATTCCTAATCAACGAAGGAGTCCTAATTGAAGAAGGATTCCTATTCAATGGAGAAGTCCTAGTCAAAGATGGATTCCTAGAAGAATGAGGATTCCTACTCAAACAAGGTTTCCTACTTGAAGTAGGAAAGTTAAGCCTAAAGTTTCCTATTTTGGGTTGATCTTTCCTAAACCTAAATGGCCTTAAGTTTCAGCAACATTGAAGGTTTCCTAAGCATTTTTGGGACACAAAGAAGGTTCTAGAACAATTCCCTATACCTGTCGCACCTAAGGCATTCTAGAAACCCTTTTTCCTTGCCTTGCAAGTCATTCTAGAAGCCTTATCCTTTGTTTCCTTTGCTGCTGCCCCTTTTGGCCTTTTCCCTTGGGGATTCTGATTGTTTAAGCCTTTTTTCCTTGTGGATTTGGATTTTACAAGTCCATATCTGATTTCCCTAGGGTTTTATGTGCCTATATATATTGTTATTTATGCTTTGACCGAACTACCACCTCTCATACACATCATTCACGCCAGAAACATAAAGCCACTCTCTGCCGTAGCCTTCCACCACCATTCTCCATAATTCCTTATCCTAAACACCCCTTGCCGCACCAACCATCCATCCTAAACACCACCATACTATCCCCCATCCATTCTACACCATTCATAACCCCAAAACCTGTCCCCAAACTTTGTGCCGCAGCAAGGAAGAAGGAGAAGTTCGTGGATGCACCTGTTGTCCAAGTTGGAGTGTCTAGGTGTTCTCTTTCTTTGGATTTCAATGTCTAAATTTGTTTATCTTTGTTTTGTGAGTATGAGAACTTAAACCCCCCTTGGCTAGGGGGGATTCGAAACCATGTTTATGCTTGCTATATAATTCGATTACTTTCAATTGCGTTTCATAAGTTGTAAATTCAATTTGCTTATCTACATGAATTAAAATTGATTTGTGTGTGTTGGTTGAAAGTGCACGCTTAATTTTCATGCATAAATCTAATGCTAGGATATAAGGGAGTTTTACCTAATCGTTTTGAACTTATATTCGCAAGTAGTAAAGGTTGTTGATCACAATCGCGTTAAGTAAATTCTTGGCATAAGTTTCATGCAATTCATAGTAACAAGTGTCTCGTCAATGCTTATGATTTTCATAGAACTTAATGATTCTTGCTTGTATCTTTATTATGCAATTCATGTAAAGAACTTGTGGGGAATGCTTTGGGTTGTTGTATGCAATCATCCAATTCAATAACTTTAGGAAAATCTGAGGGTTAATTAGTGCAATTCCCGGTTAATCTGGGGCATTGAGGATTCATAGTTTATTGAAAAGCAATTGGAAATCGTTTTGTATGCAAGTGTGACATGTGTTGATGCACAAAATCAGTGAGGACTTTGGTACAACAGAAAGTGTCAGGTTTTGTAACCTTCGCTTCGTTGCTTCGGTCACTAGTAAGGATAAGTATGTAAATGAATAGAGACAGAGAAGCAAACACAAGATATACGTGGTTCACCCAGATTGGCTACGTCCACGGAGTCGGGGAGTTCTCATTAATTGTGAAGGGTTTACACAAATACATAGGTTCAAGCTCTCCTTTTGTGAGTTTTAGTGAATAGTTTAGTACAAAATGACATTAGAGATTATTGTGGGAGAATGATCCCTATTTAGAGTTTCTAGTTTTGTTCTGACATTGACACGTGTCGTGTTGTGATTGGCTTCTGATGTTGACACATGTCGCGCTGTAATTAGCTTCTGATGTCGACACGTGTCGCATTGTGATTGGCCTCCTGGTTGAAGGGAAGCTCTTCTGGGTCCTTGACGGTATAACGTTGACCGGTGCTCAGTAGTTTCGGGATTGGTCAAGTATGGTACAAACAACATGTGTGGAGAAGAACCCCTTAGCTAGCTTTCCATCCATTCACTTTAATCAAATTCGTTTTAAAATCTATTTTAGTTTACAAAGTTTTTGTTTGTTTTCAATTTCGTCAAAACCAATTCCCCCTTTATTTTGAAGTGTTAGATTAGTTAGAAATCAATTTAGTTTGTGTTTTTAAGTGTCTTGAGTCAAGTTATAACCTATTTTCGTCCAAATTTGTGTTTGGTGTTCAAAACTGTTCAGATTGTGTTTTTAAGGCAGTTTTGAGTGTTTATGTGCTGTTTTGAGTTTTTTGGTTTGTTTTAGTGTTTTAGAGTTTAGTTTTGCATTCTTTGAGTCTAGTTTAGTGTTTTAAACTTCGTTTTTACGTTTTTGAGTCAGTTTTCAAGTGATTTAGCAATCCCTCCTAATCCCCAGCCTAGAACGATCCCTACTTAAATACTTTGCTACAATTGATAAAAAGAGGGTTTATTTTGTGTGCTTATATATTTCGCATCACTAACATCATTCGAAAAAAAAAATTAAGAACTCTGGGTTAAACTAGAATCACAGAGACAGCAAGGGACCTTTGAACAATTACAGAATCACAGAGACAAAACTTAAACCCAAAAAAAAGAGAAACCAACAGACCTTTGAACAATCACAAGATCACAGTGACAACCAAGAATGAGAAACAAAGCAAAGGGAAACAAATAATATAAGCCCAGAAAATCAAACAATAGATTAAAAAACATAAAGTCATGTTGGCTCAAGAGCAGATTATGAAGTTGCGATGGGAGTCCGAACTAAAATGCAAAATATTAGAGAGATTCAGAGTAAGAATTTGAGGTGAAAACAAATGGACACAGGGAAATGAACTTAATATGTGATAGTGTAATGGACTTAATCTATGATAGTGCAATGGACTTAATCCGTGGCACATTCCACATATACAAAAATGCATTTGGACTTAATTTTAGAAAAAAATCACTGCAGAAACACCACCATTGAGCCACTCAACACTACAATTTTCTTTTCCTTTTCCCCCAATTTTCTCAGCCACCAACCAAAAGGTAAGCCTCAAAATATCAAAATTGAAACCATGTTTTTGAGGTTAGTTAGATTGCTTGATGAATATTGTGAACAGCTTTATAGCAGAATAGCCTTCGGTTCCTTAGTGAAGCGTCAGATGAGAGAAAAGATAGGGTTGGGAAATTACTGTGATGATATTTCACCATACATTGTGCTTTTTTATATAGTAAAAATAATGGGCTTACTTACCGTACAAGTAATACAATGTTTGCTAGGAAAGGATAAATTCAC